AAGTCTTGTAAATATAAACTGATATTTTGTTAATATTAATAAACTACAAAAATTAAATCAAACTTGCAACTGAGTAGATAAGATGCTGATTTTAAATAACTAACCTTTTAAAAATATGACCCCACATGAATCTTTTATAAGTCCTTTTTTATCACTGAACCACTTAGGGAGTTTAAAATTTTTGATGCTTGTGTGTATGCCATGTTTTGTTCTTTGCCTTGCCTAGAATCAGCTAACCTCTTCACTTACCAGTCCAAGAATCCCTGTGAGAATTCCTCTAGGACTTTGTCTAATCCAGTTTCAATAGACTTAAAATGTAAGACTCCTGCTTCCTTTTTTGAGGAACTAATCTGTCTGTTAAATACCTCACCCAAAGAATGAAAAATTGCAAAGATGAAATACTGTGGATAGATCACAGTAGACTATCTACTGTGATAGTCTTAGATGGGTTGAAGACTTAGATGAAGACTTAGATGAAGTCTTAGATGGGTTCCACACTTTTCTAGATCAACTTAATCCTAGAACGGATCAGTAAACAGAAATATAGACACAAGCCAAAATGGTTATTTCAACACTGTTGAGTTTTTGTGAGAATTTTAGGATAGGACTAAGTATGACCATTTGGAAAATGAAAACAATGATGCCTCAGATGCATATGTTTTTGTTTTCTTTCCTGGAGTAGATGAGAACTTTTGTTTTAAATTTCATTTTCAACATATGGAGGCAGTTTCTTTTGAAGTTTCTCTTGGAGTGCTCTGTTGTCTATAAATTCTCTTTCGACACAGAAGAATAACATTTTTAGAAGGTGGTAGGAGAAAGATATTACAAGGAGAAGTACAGGAAAATAAGGAGCTCACTATCTAGTATGTCATGGTGTAGGTCTGCTTATCTGGGTAAAAAAAAGAGATTCAGAGGGAAAAATGAAAGTAATATGTCCTACGGGCCATGTGGGTCTGTGCCATTTTCATTTGGCAGTGCCTTGATGTCATGCTAAGAGTTCATTTGTGAAAACACATGATTTCAGACTACAATCCTATTAGGGCCTGTTTCAAATGCCAAAGGGGAAAATGTGCTATAATAAAGCCCAGGTGTCTATTGGTATGATTTTAAATTATTTCATTCAACAACTATGCTTATTATATACTGATTAAATGTTACCTGTTTTTACCCAGATTTGGCAACAAGTCAGGAAAGAGTTTCTATCATAAAATGCTAACATCAGTGTTCAAAGACAGGACCTGCAATTGTACCTGCAAGAAACTCTATTCTTGAAACTTGTATTTATTTTTAACTCATAAGTATGCTCATTATTTAAATCATAGAATAGAAAACTATTTGATACTAACTCTTTTTTCATAATTAGATTTCTTCATATAATAAACATTTGGCTTAAACTCTTTCATCATTCAATTTTTCTTACAGTTCTTCAAAATAGCGTTCTTACAGTACTTGAAAAAGAACCAGCATTGAAAAGAGAGTTCAGTAAAACCAATAGTCATTGCAGAAACACAACAAACCTTTCATGTTATATATTAGTTGAAAGTTAAAAGAAATTTGACTTGGAAAAGCATCTGTTCTATTTCCCACACTGATGTCATGAATGAAATTCCTGGAATGTGGATTGGTGTAACTCCACCTTCTGATTATTTCAAATGGTCATACCTCGCAACACCTGGATAATGTTTCTCATATCCAAAGTAGGTTGTTCTATAATAGGGAGTATATGAATTTTCTTGTACTCCTTTTAGCCTGTGTACATTCGGCTCTGTTGTAGAATTGTTGCTTCTGTTGAACTCTGTAAACAAGCAAAGATCTAACAATTGGTTTATGTAACCACTTCACCCATCTGAATGTCTGGTGAAAACTTTATAAGCAACCCTCCCTCACACTGGAATTCCTTTTACCTGTAATTATTTTCAATTTCAAATCACTGAGTTTCATTTTCTTTCTGTGTAAATTTTGTACGACTATGTTATTTTTTAAATTACAAACTAAACTCAATCATTAAGTAGTTTTGATAGCATACTAACATTATGAAGATTATCATGCCACGTGTTTAACTTCTACTTAAATTATATTGAAGTGCTACAATAAACTCTATTTGTGTTAGTCCCCATTTTAAGTATATTTGTTAAGATAAAACAAACCAGTGATATTCCTACAGTTTCTGTATATTTTCAGTTTTACACCTTTTTTGGTCCACTCTAATTACTTAAGAATTTGTATTTGTTATCAGTCCCTGTGCCCCATGCCCTGTCTGTCTGTCCATGCATCTGCATTATTGGCCTTGGGTTAATGAGTCTTAGCTATATCTTTTTTCCCATGTATGGAATGTCAGTATACATAAAAGGTTTCACTGACTCATAGACTTAGTTGCTTATAAGAATCACCTATAAGGCTTTATTTATTTTTGTATTTCTATATTTTTATTATACACCTGCCAGTGCAGCTGGAGATTTTCATCCAGGTCAGTAGCATTGAATTTAGGCATCTGTAAATTCAAAAAAGTTCCATGGATTATTATTAATGCCTGGTTTATGTTTGTAGGAGCCCACTGCTGGTTGTCTTTTTCTATTCATATTGTTGCCATCTCCTTTCAAGTCATTGGAAACATCAGGATTGGGCCTTCTCCCTAGTCATATCTTGGCCATATGTTAGTATTTCTTTAATCCAGATTGTAACTGGTTTCAAGTGAAGAGTCAGTTCTTATTCATTTTCATATTCTCTGATCGTAGCAGCTTTTCTTAGATCCTAAGTGCCTAAGTATAATAGTAATTAAATATATTCTTTGTTGTCATGAATTTGCTGAAATTCTAATGCCACACATGTAGGAAAATTTATCTCCACAGAGTTTTGTTTTCTTTTTAAAGAAAACATAATACATTAAAATAAAAAATTACAAGTGTTAATTTGTCACTACAAAAGATTTTTAACTTTGTTCAGGGATTCAAAACCAAATGTCTGTGATTTACCAACAATTTAAAAGAGGGAGTGAAGGGAAAAATACACAAACCCTGAGTGGAATTGTTAATGGACCTTACTATTTTAAGATTAATTAGAAAATACATTTTTAAACCCTTTACATGGTTTTCTAAACTATAGTTTTTAAATGTAATCTAGGACCATATCAAAGTGAGATTATCAGGACTACAACAATCCATTGGTTCTAAATTCCAGGGAAAGAACAGAGAAATAATAAAGAACAAAGGGAAGAAAGTTTCATGCATGTGTTTCTCTCTCTCTTTTCCTCTCAAGACTTCCCATTTAAGAGAGAAGAGATTGGATGGGAGACCCAGGGCTGACACAGAGAGGGTAGGATGGTAGAGACTGAACTACCCAACACTTGGAATCAAACATTACATTTTTGTCTGTTGAAGAAGTCTTGTTTACTGAGCTATTGACTAACTGCTCTAGATTTACAGGGGAATGATTTTCAGTACTCCTGGGGTACATGGCAATAAAGCAATGTTGATCTTTTTTGCCTCCCACTTTTTCTTTTTTTGGGGGAAACTTTTTGTCTTTTCTTGTTTCTCCTTCCTAAACTGCTTGTGCTTCCTTCCAGGTATCTTGTATTTCCTACTTAACTGACCTCCTTCCTTCATTCCCCAAGAACAACTTTCTCTCTCTCAATAACGACTGCTTTACTTTAATCAAAAGGATTATTTCTGAACTAGTATCAGTCATTTACATACCTGTTAACTGGTTAATTTACAATTTTTTAAATTAAGACTTAAAATGTCCAATACTTATTAAACAAGGAATTAGTAACTCAAATTGACTTGTTTTGATGCAATGCAAATAGTTTCTGTAAACAAAACTCACTGTGTCACAATGCTGCCTGAAATGCCTATCATCCTTTCCTTCCTTGCTGTACCCCCTGTAGGACTCCATTTCTGAGTTTCACTGAATGCAGAGTTCTCAGCTCTGACCTGTATCACATAATATTGTTATTATTTGAACTGAAAATATACAGAAACTATAGGAATGTCACTGGTTTATCTTAACAAATGCATGAGTTTAAAATGGGGACTAGCACAAGTAGAGTTTATCATAGCACTGAAATATAATCTATAATTAATCCAATGACATTTTTTCTCTTAATGTGTATTATGGAATCTTGCCATGCCAGTATGTTTAGAACTACTTTGTTTTTAACTACATATTATTCTAACAATTGTACGGATATACTCAGTATTCCATCATTCTCTTGTTTGTGGTCACAATGATAATAATGATTATCATGCCAACCCATCATCTTAATAATAAATAACATTTATTGAACCCTAAGTATGTGTTAGGCACTACCAGATGGTACCTGCTTTACATATATTAATTCACTTGGTTGTAATATCAGCTATCCTGCTAGGTAGATGATATTGTTAACCTCACATTAGGTATGAGAAAACTGAAGCATAGAGAAGATAAATAATTGGTCTAAGGTCTCCTTCCTGGTAAGTGGCAGAAGCAGAATGTAAATCTGGAAAGAATGTCGCCAGAGTCTACAGTGGAGTTGACTCAAGCACCATTATTTTTATTTCTTTTCTCCTTTTGGCAGTTACACAAAAGGCAGCAAATAGCATCATAATATATAAAAATTTGGGATATGTTTATATTTTTCCTAAGTTTTTCAGAATAGACATTGTGGTTAAAAAGGAGTGACTCCATCATACAAAAGAAAAATATAAAATCATAGAGTCTCCAGGTTTGAAAGCACTTTCTAAGTAATTTACTTAAGTTGCAATAATTGTGACTGTCAGCCAGTCGTATTCTCACCTGCTCTCTGGAGTTACAAGAGAACTTGTTCAGGATCTCTTCTTGCTAATACCTGTTTCTACACTGTGTCATATTTATTTGTGTATATGTCTCATTTCCCACATTCCTCTCACAGTTCATTTTCTTTTCTTATTCTGCTGCCAATTGTTTTACATACAAAAGGTACCAGTACTATTTGGCTGAATTATTTCACTATTTTAATTTATAGCTTTTCTTCTTTTGAACAGGAGCAAAATTTATTGGAACTTTCCCCATCCCAGATACCTATAATCCAGATGATGATAAAATATATTTCTTCTTTCGTGAATCATCTCAAGACGGCGGTACTTCTGATAAGACCATCCTTTCTCGAGTTGGAAGAGTTTGTAAGGCAAGATATGTTTCTTTTACTTTAGGCATTTATGTATATGTGTAAACTATTAATCATCTAGTGTTGAAGTAAAAGTTACTGTCCATTATGTATAAGTAGTAGGATATGTTAATGCAGCCTTACATGTATAATTTTTAGTTAAAAAATCAATTTTTTGTAATATGACAGGTAATTTTTTCCAGTGCCTGAACTGTTACCCATATTTGAATTAGAGTTCTTTAGCAGATCTGACAGGCTATCCTTTGCCAGTTATTGCTATAACCCATAAGATCACTGCATTGTCCAGATGCATGGAAATTAAAATGTTTTTATATCTTAATCTTATTTTGAAACTGAAAGTAGCATAATCAACAGAGTAATTAAACACTAATAAAAGAATCATATCCCATAGTTTTATCAAAACACATCACACAAGTGAAATTATGTATCTTTACATGGATCAAATAAGTTGAAAATATGGTTATAGTATTACTATATTTTCTAGAACACGAATCTAGATTAGGTTCTGAGAGAAAATGGAAAAAGGAGGGAAAAGGCAATTAAACCAAAATGCAAAAAGCATTTATTCCAAAGAACCCTGCAGTTGTTTTTTTAATATTGCGATTTTATGTAAAATATAGGAAAACAGAAACTCTATAAAATACTTCCATTTTGTGCCATCAGAGTTCTCATTTGAGTGAATACAAGCTTTGTAGAATAATAATGCTACTGGAATCATACTTTTGACTTCAGGATATCATTTTTTTAGTTGGATTTTTCTTTACTGAAATAACTTTTCTTAAATAGCCAGACACCTTCAGCATAAACCAGTTATTAAGAGGAAGAGATGTTAAGTTAATAAATACTCTCAGTGGGAAGCTTTCTTTGGTCCTGTACAAATTTTTAATTTTTCTTCCATCTGAGCCTATCACTTTTTTGTCTCAATCTGTGCCCTCAGGCTTTTGAACACTTGCAGGCGTAGAAACACAAGCCATCACTGCTTTTAAAAAGAGCAAATGAAAACATAGCTTTTGAAGGAGGCCAACGTGTGAGTGCAGATCATTCTTTACCTAGCGTTCTACTCAGTAAGGCTATCTCCCACTGATCCCTTCACCCCCAGGGGACAGATTCTCTAAGAAGCATCCTCATTCTTTCAGTCTAAGAATTCACTGTAATTTCTATTGAAGCCTCTTGCCTAGAGCTGAATAGCCATTGAGTAGTCATAGTGTGTTAGTGTATTGAAGCATGCCTTATAGCAACAGTATCTCCATTCTGAAAACCTGTGCTGTGGATTGACATCATTTGTATAAATGAGCTACGTTAAATATGTCATAAGAGCTTTACAATCAATTAAATGTATTTCAAGAGTCACTTTCTGATGAACGTATATAACAAGGGTATGCTTTGTGAACCAGCTCAATTCTTATTTTTTGATAGGTCCAACCCATGTGGTAGAAATTCACTTATAACAAAGTAATGTTTTTATTCTGCTAGTAAATAAACTGCAAGTTAATCTGAAATGTGGAGAACTATATTAAAGAAAATTTTATTTGCTCCATTTATACATTTTTATGTTAAAAATATAATCTAGACTTTAAGTGTCACCATGGGATATTTTATTTAAATTATGAACAAACTCCATAGAACTGAAAAGGCAGAGAGAATTTTAGTAGATGAGTCTTCCCACCACAGACACTCTGAGGCCACACAGCAAGATTTTGTCATGCTATTGTGTTTGGGAAAAAAGCTAACAAATTGTAAGATCAAATAAGGACATGTGATGGATGAATTTCCTTTTTAAAAAGATATAATAGAAGCCTCACATTAGTGTATCTCTTCACTCAGTCACTGTTTCCAATTAGTACCATCTTCAGAATTTCCCAGTACACATGTTTCCTTGGTCAAATGTTTATAATATTTGGCTCTAATTACATCTTTGTAATTTCTTAATTACAGAATGCCCTGCCCATGTTTTTAAATTTACTTATTAATTTAGGACTAAAGTGTTGCAAAATGTAAGCACTTCTAAGTGGAAACTTCACTGAGATTAAAAATGACCTGAAATTTATAAAAACTGTTACATCCTGCAACACAACAGGTTTAATTTAAAAACAACTATTCAGCATCATTATTGTTGCTGTGATATATTAGTGTTGCATAAAAATAGTCTTCTGACATTTTATGCAACATATTATTCTTCTCTGTTGTTTCTTTTTTTTACTACCATGAAGTTATTATAATAAATATTTATTATGGTTTTTCTATTTTCAATAAATAATTACAGAATGTATGTTTATGTTATGAAACAAAATTGAATTCAACAGGTAGATGCAAGGATCTAAGAAGGAAGAGATCTTGTTAGAATTAAGAATTAACTGTTTACACTTCAGTAAGTTTATACAGCATTTCAGTAATGTGGAAGTCCTTTATAATATTTGTTACACTAGGATATTCCCACAGTACCTGTTTATTTGGAAATATTTAGGTTTTATTATTCTGTTATTGTTTTCATTTTTAACTGATAACCTTCAGCCCAATGAAAACCTATTGACAATTTAAGGGCCCCCTATCTCTTCAGCTACTAAGCAAAAGTTGTTTTATTGACCTGTCAAATATATTTACTGTTAGACTGAGTAGTATTTGCTGATTTGGGGGTAGGAGGTTTTGGAAATAGGAAAAATTTACACAAAAACGATTAAAGAATTGTTTTCAGAATAAGGGTGAATCTTTTCAAATTTGTAACCCAGTAACTCATTATTTCATCATTTCATTATTTCTACAGTAACAACAAAATAAAACATCTGTGCAAAATGCAGTATACTAGACACTAAGATATAAGAAAGCCACGTTCCCCCTTTTTAAAAATAAATCGAACGGAATAGTGAGGTAATAGAGACATAAACAAATAATCACAATATAATGTGATGCAGGTCAGAGCTGAGGATTCCATGCATTCACTGAAGCCCGGAAATGGAGTTCTACAGGGGAAGAAGGACTATAGCAAGGACGGAAAGGAGGATGGGTGTTTTAGGCAGCATTGTGACAGTGTATTTTGTTTACAGAAACAGTGCAGTCTTGTAAATGGAACTTGAAGGGTATGTATGGGGAGCAATGTCATTTGAGATTGGAGTGGTAAGTCCGAAAATAAGAAGTCTTATTTGCCATGTTAAGGACTTTGAACTCTACCCTGTAGGCGATGAGAAGTTATAAATGATTTGAGGAAGAGAAATGACTTGATAGGTAGATACATTTAGCAATAATTTGAGGAATGCATCTGGTTTGAGAAGATTTCAGACTGAGAGACCTGTGAGGAGGTGATTCCTTAATAAAAATATGAATAAACAGAATAGAAGGATTAGAATCTCTGTATAGATTTTTAAAAGGTCTTTAATTTATTACCACTCTTTTATTAATTGCTTAATGTAGACTAGTGCTATCCAATAGAGCTTTCTTCAGCTAACATCACATACTTAATGGCGAAAAGCTGAAAGTTTTTCCTCTAATATCAGAAACAGGACAAGGATGTCCACTCTCCCCACTTTTATTCAACATAGTACTAGAAGTCCTAGCAATGGCAGTCAGACAACACAAAGAGATAAAAGGGCGTCCGAATTGGTAAGGAAGAATTCAAACTGTCACTGTTTACAGATGATATGATATGCGTGGAAAACCCTAAGGACTACACCAAAAAACTATAAGAAGCAATAACTGGATTCAGCGAAGTTGTAGGATACAAAATTAATACACAGAAATCTGTTGCATTCCTATATACTATCAATGAACTAGCAGAAAGAGAAATCAGGAATACAGTTCCATTCACAATTGCATCAAAAGAATAGAATACCTAGGAATAAACCTAACCAAGGAAGTGAAGACCTGTACTCTGAAAAGTATAAGACACTCATGAAAGAAATTAAAAAAGACACCAATAAATGGAAATCTATCCCATGCTCATGTCTAGGAAGAACTAATATTGTCAGAATGTCCATTCTGCCCAAAGCAATTTACAGATTCAGTGCAATCCCTATCAAAATACCAATAGCTTTTTCCAAGGAACTAGAACAAATAGTTCTGAAATTCATTTGAAACTACAAAAGAATTAAACTGTATTACTTTCTAACCCCATACACAAAAGTAAACTCAAAATGGATCACAAACCTGAATGCAAGACATGAAACCATAAAATTCTCAGAAAACATAGGCAAAAATCTCCTGAATATTAACATGAACAACTTTTTCCTGGACACATCTCTTTGGGCAAGAGAAACAAAATAAAATATGAACAAGTGGGACTACATCAAACTAAAACTTCTGTATAGCAAAGGACACCATCAGTAGAACAAAAGGCAACTTACATTATGGGAGAATATATTTGTAAGTAATTTATCTGATAAGGGATTAAAATCCCAAATATATAAAGAACTCATATACCTCAACACCAAAAAAACAAATAATCCAATTAAAAAATGGGCAGAGGATCTGAACAGACACCTCAGCAAAGAAGAAATCTGGGTGGCCAACAGGCACATGAAAAGATGTTTCACATCACTTATAATCAGGGAAATGCAAATCAAAACCACAATGAGATATAACCTCACACTGCTTAGAATTGCCACTATCCCAAAGACAAGAAATAAGTGTTGACAAGGAAGCGAAGAAAAGGGAAACTTCCTACGCTGCTGGCGGGAATGTAAATTAGTTCAACCATTGTGGAAAGCAATATGGAGGTTCCTCAAAGAACTAAAAATAGAAATACCATTTGACCTGGAAATCCCACTTGTTGGAATTTACCCAAAGAATACAAGTTCTCAGATTGAAAAAGACATATGTACAGCTATGTTTATCGCAGCACTATTTACAATAGCCAAGATACGGAAGCAACCTAAGTGTCCATCAGTAGATGAATGGATAAAGATGTGGTACATATACAGAATGGAATGTTATTCAGCCATAAAAAAAGAAAGCCTGCCATTTACAACAACATGGGTGAATCTAGAGGGTATTATGCTCAGTTAAATGAG